GAAAATATCCCATGAACATTCAATACTCAATGTGATCAACAGACTTTCTTCTCTACAACTTGTTATTGACTGGTGATGGGAATCTACCTCGAAATTTGTGGTCGATAATCAACTTCATAAATGGATCAATAGTCAACAATTTATTGACAGTGAATGTTTTTTCACAATAATCTTTTAGGATTTGTTTCTATGTTCATTTACCTTGGCTCTCATGTGTGGACTGGTTGGCAGATAGTGCTAACTCTCTGTTGTTTACACCAACAACGATCAGATTCCCACTATTGATGCCAGCGAAACGATTAATAATTAATGAAACCATACTTTGACTGGTGTAAGGTTTTTGTTGTTATTTGACTATTGTAAATGTGGGGTGCCTTCATCATCATGATCGGTGATTTGTTTATCTCAACGAGGACCGCCTCCGTGGTCTAGTGGTAGAGTGTCCACCCTGAGAGCGGAAGTTCCGGGGTTTGAACCCCAGCCATGTCATAACAGAAGACGTTAAAAGATGGTACTTCTTGTTACCTTGTCCGGCACTAGGCATTATGGTGTATTCATGTTAAACTGTGACATAGTTTCTCGGTGGGCTAGCACTATAAAATTGGCATCAGCCCAGACTAGTACAAGCAGCCACACACACACACACATACATACCCACGTGCATGCATGTCTCTATTTAAGCGCAATAATCTTGGACGTAATGTTAAGCCCCATTTCACCTCACCTTATCTGAACAATGACTCCATTCTGATATCAGGTTGAATATGACTAACTTAGTACTCCACTTTATATATATTTTTATATTTATATTTTTAGTATATATATATATATTGCAATATCAGCTGTTAATATTACAAGTAATAGACTATATTATTCCTGGTATCAGTATGGACCAGATTTAATTGCTACCGATTATTGCTTTCAGGGTCTTTATTATCTGGTATTTTTAACTGAATCACCCTTAGATCATGGGAGAAAATGTGGAACCGCTGATTGCTATTTTCTGGCTTATTTAATGAGACAATGACAAACATATATTTATCATGTTAGATAAGAATGATTTTTCTTGAGGAAGATATGCTATTAAGGTTTATTATCTATTCTATTATTATGTTATCGATTGAACATGTTCAATATACAGTCAATCACTATAATTGACACTTTCAGATTTCATCATTAAGCCTAAATGGGCATATAAATAATTAGCTATACTCCTGACATGCTTGAGGTACTCTTTAAAAACCTTGACCGTTAGCTGTGTAGAACATTGCTGTGGTGGTGATGATGATGATGATGATGATGATTATGATCATGATCACCATATGATGTCATTTGTATTTGTCCCAATCACTTCCCTCTGTTGGCTGGCTCACCTGACATGGGCTGTTGTCGGATGGGTGTACTGTGATGCAGTGTGTGTCTGTTGTTGATAGCCTAGTGTGTCTCGCCTAGTCACTCAGTAGGTGCACGTTAGTGTTTGACCTTTGGCTTGACACACCTATATATGTCAAAGTCAGCCAACAGTTTCAAACAACTTGACATGGTTTGATACATAAAGTATACATAAAACAAATAGATTTGTATGTAACAATTCCAGTGATGCCTCACACTAGTGTTTGAAAATAAAATAATGCCTGGGGCTGCTGTCAGGACCCACGAACTTTAGAAGCTGCAGGCCCTGACTAAACTTTTCAGACCTCATTTAAGAAACTGCAGCTTATTGTGTTAAATAAATCGACATGTATGTTTATTAGAGACTATAAGGCCTGACAGCTTTGAAATTTCGGGTCTGACAAGAAATCCACCTGCCACAGGCCTATGGGCAGGCGCTTATTTCGAGCACTGCCTCACACCATTTTGTCACCAATATTGTGCAAGGCCCTGCCCTTTCATTCTGTAGGTGGTAAACAAAATGAGAAGACTGACACATTTTCTTCCATTTTAACCACATTGCATCACAGTGACTAGTGTCTGTATTGTCTAGTGGACCAGTGTGTAGGTAACAATGACTAGTGTCTGTATTGTCTAGTTTGTCTAGTGGACCAGTGTGTAGGTAACAGTGACTAGTGTCTGTGTTGTCTAGTGGACCAGTGTGTAGGTAACAGTGACTAGTGTCTGTGTTGTCTAGTGGACCAGTGTGTAGGTAACGGTGACTAGTGTCTGTGTTGTCTAGTGGACCAGTGTGTAGATAACAGTGACTAGTGTCTGTGATGTCTAGTGGACCAGTGTGTAGGTAACAGTGACTAGTGTCTGTATTGTCTAGTGGACCAGTGTGTAGATAACAGTGACTAGTGTCTGTGTTGTCTATTGGACCAGTGTTTAGGTAACAGTGACTAGTGTCTGTGTTGTCTAGTGGACTAGTGGACCAGTGTGTAGGTAACAGTGACTATTGTCTGTGTTGTCTAGTTGACCAGTGTGTAGATAACAGTGACTAGTGTCTGTGTTGCCTAGTGGACCAGTGTGTAGGTAACAGTGACTAGTGTCTGTGTTGTCTAGTGGACCAGTGTGTAGGTAACAGTGACTATTGTCTGTGTTGTCTAGTGGACCAGTGTGTAGGTAACAGTGACTAGTGTCTGTATTGTCTAGTGGACCAGTGTGTAGGTAACAGTGACTAGTGTCTGTGTTGTCTAGTGGACCAGTGTGTAGATAACAGTGACTAGTGTCTGTGATGTCTAGTGGACCAGTGTGTAGATAACAGTGACTAGTGTCTGTATTGTCTAGTGGACCAGTGTGTAGGTAACAGTGACTATTGTCTGTATTGTCTAGTGGACCAGTGTGTAGGTAACAGTGACTAGTGTCTGTATTGTCTAGTGGACCAGTGTGTAGGTAACAGTGACTAGTGTCTGTGTTGTCTAGTGGACCAGTGTGTAGGTAACAGTGACTAGTGTCTGTGATGTCTAGTGGACCAGTGTGTAGATAACAGTGACTAGTGTCTGTATTGTCTAGTGGACCAGTGTGTAGGTAACAGTGACTATTGTCTGTGTTGTCTAGTAGACCAGTGTGTAGGTAACAGTGACTAGTGTCTGTGTTGTCTAGTTGACCAGTGTGTAGGTGACAGTGACAAATGTCTGTGTTGTCCAGTGGACCAGTGTGTAGGTAACAGTAACTAGTGTCTGTGTTGTCTAGTGGACTAGTATGTAGGTAACAGTGACTAGTGTCTGTGTTGTCTAGTGGACTAGTGGACCAGTGTGTAGGTAACAGTGACTAGTGTCTGTATTGTCTAGTTGACCAGTGTGTAGGTAACAGTGACTAGTGTCTGTGTTGTCCAGTGGACCAGTGTGTAGGTAACAGTGACTAGTGTCTGTGTTGTCTAGTGGACTAGTGGACCAGTGTGTAGGTAACAGTGACTAGTGTCTGTGTTGTCTAGTGGACCAGTGTGTAGGTAACAGTGACTAGTGTCTGTGTTGCCTAGTGGACCAGTGTGTAGGTAACAGTGACTAGTGTCTGTGTTGCCTAGTGGACCAGTGTGTAGGTAACAGTGACTAGTGTCTGTGTTGCCTAGTGGACCAGTGTGTAGGTAACAGTGACTAGTGTCTGTGTTGCCTAGTGGACCAGTGTGTAGATAACAGTGACTAGTGTCTGTGTTGCCTAGTGGACCAGTGTGTAGATAACAGTGACTAGTGTCTGTGTTGCCTAGTGGACCAGTGTGTAGATAACAGTGACTAGTGTCTGTGTTGTCTAGTGGACTAGTGGACCAGTGTGTAGGTAACAGTGACTAGTGTCTGTATTGTCTAGTGGACCAGTGTGTAGGTAACAGTGACTAGTGTCTGTGTTGCCTAGTGGACCAGTGTGTAGGTAACAGTGACTAGTGTCTGTGTTGCCTAGTGGACCAGTGTGTAGATAACAGTGACTAGTGTCTGTGTTGCCTAGTGGACCAGTGTGTAGGTAACAGTGACTAGTGTCTGTGTTGTCTAGTGGACTAGTGGACCAGTGTGTAGGTAACAGTGACTAGTGTCTGTGTTGTCTAGTGGACCAGTGTGTAGGTAACAGTGACTAGTGTCTGTGTTGCCTAGTGGACCAGTGTGTAGGTAACAGTGACTAGTGTCTGTGTTGCCTAGTGGACCAGTGTGTAGATAACAGTGACTAGTGTCTGTGTTGCCTAGTGGACCAGTGTGTAGGTAACAGTGACTAGTGTCTGTGTTGCCTAGTGGACCAGTGTGTAGATAACAGTGACTAGTGTCTGTGTTGCCTAGTGGACCAGTGTGTAGGTAACAGTGACTAGTGTCTGTGTTGCCTAGTGGACCAGTGTGTAGATAACAGTGACTAGTGTCTGTGTTGCCTAGTGGACCAGTGTGTAGATAACAGTGACAAATGTCTGTATTGTCTAGTTGACCAGTGTGTAGGTAACAGTGACTAGTGTCTGTGTTGTCTAGTGGACTAGTGGACCAGTGTGTAGATAACAGTGACTAGTGTCTGTATTGTCTAGTGGACCAGTGTGTAGATAACAGTGACTAGTGTCTGTGTTGTCTAGTGGACTAGTGGACCAGTGTGTAGATAACAGTGACTAGTGTAGCAGTTTTAAAGCTCAATGGAAATCGTAATTGACATGTTTGACATTATGTTGATCTAGTATTGTATGTTCACCTGATTTTATCATATAAAAACTTTCAGGTATTAGGCTTTCGTCCTTTCCTGTCTGCATGTGTTTGAATGGAGAGATTGTGTCAACATTTTGATGCGGCCAGAAATACATGTCTACCATCATATTATCAGATTATATGCTTGCTTGCAATAATTGGTCCACATTTAGGTCACAGGGCTTACTGCAGGAGGAGCGTCATTGATTGCATCCATGTACATGATGTAACATCTGTGTTTATTAATGCAGCAGTTTGTTCCTGTGTTCATGGTGTTGAAGACTTGGGGTTGTGATCGTGTGTGTTAAACTTCTGTGACTCATTACTGGCAGGTCTACATGCCTCACATCTATTCAAACCAATGCAGTGCTTTAGGTACAGTACTGTGACACAGTTCAGTGATTATGGGATATACTTGTATGGTCATGTATGCATGTCCTTGTTTTATGCAGGTAGGTATGTGCTGTTTGAGTCAGCACTGTGAAGTGTTGGTTTATTCAAGAACCATGACCATGATGACAAGTGATGCATGACATGGCTTCACACTGCTGTAGTGCACACATCACCTGCTGACAGTTACCCAGGTCAAGTGATTGGCCATACAGCATGTACATGGAACCCACATTTAATTGGTCACTGAAGAAGTAGACATTGATACAGGCTTCTCATCAGGTTCATCATGATTGTCCTCCCTGACTTCAACACAAACACAAACATGATGATCAAGGGCACGTTTAGCCCCTTGCCACAACATTATGCCCACATAGAATAGGCTGTTTGAGAGAAGGTGAGACAGCTCTAAGAGAGACAGTAAGGTGGGACAAGGTCTATGATAGAGGTGTGTGTTATGAAGTGTTAACCAGTCAGCACTGTGTACTTAAGTTCCAGCAGTGTCAACACACCCACTTGACAGTGTACACACTCATGCATGCTGTAGACCCAGGCCTGCTGCTGCTGACATTTCCACCACACTACTGCATCGTAATGTCATTTCCCCTGAACTAGCCTGACTTGTGCTGGGGACTGCCGACACAGTAACCACGACTAATGAGTCACGGTTGACCTCACTACTCACGGCCCATTGTGTGTGACTGCAGTCAAAAGAACATTACATCAGAGACTCAGTCATTGTTTACGTCTTCCAATTGTCAGCTCACAACATTCAACATCGTCTGGATGTGAGAATATTTTAACCTGTGGTCGGTCCCTTTGCTCGAACATTGGGGTCTTCATTTCGTTGGATTTACCTTTGCAACTTAGTCGGCCATCATGCACCAGGTAAAGGTATGTGTTGTATTTGAGGAATGATTGGTATTTAGACATCTCGATGTTCATTCTCCTGGCAGTGTTTGTCCCGTTTGGGTTGGAATTAGCAGTGATTAGTTTGTTTTCTTAGTCACGTTACGCCCATTTTGATCGGCCTTTATCACAATATGTAAACAATTAACCCCAGAGTGCTACTTTAGGCCATTGAGCTGGACCTTCTTTCCAGCTTAACCCATTTCTTATGTGAAGTTTAGCTTGTGGCTGATGTGGCTTGAAGTATTTGTTTGTGCAATCAGCCTGAGAGAGGAGAGTAAACAAAATAATATGATGGTTTACTGATTATTTGGGATCTGATATCAGGGACAAACAGGAGGCTGCTCTTCATCCAGTATCTCTCCTGAATGTGTAACATTTGTATAGTAAACTCATCTGGTATAGACGGGGAACATTTGGACATCGATCATCAGATTTCTTCTACAACTACAACATCAGTATGTTGAGATAAGGGGTTTTGAAAACAGCTGAAACCAGACAAATGTTTTCTTCAAAAGTGTAATGAGCTGCTATTTAATGCTTATGAACGTCTAGAAATATAAATATTTATAAAAGAAGTAGCCGATGGCAGTCAAATGGAATAGGGTTTACGATATCAGCTGAGTGTTCAACAAAGCACTCTTTTAACATTGAAAACTGTTGTGGGTATATTTGGGTGGTAGTGCTTTCAAAGGTAGGGAGATGGTATGGTAACCAAAATGTTATTGTGAAGAAGGGATGGATGGGATTTGACATGGCATTCAACATTTTAGTTTAATCTGAAGTGTGCAGCATGTACAGAGCTTGACTTGGGGTTAGACATGTTAGGAGTAGACACTGTGCCAACCTGAAAGTATGTGATAGAAAATGTCGGCTACTGAGTGACGGAATGTGAGGTATACTACTTTCACTAGTTATTCTGAGAATGTAAATGGTATTCATTACTATTCAATTAACCAAGTTACGTACAGTGTGGTATACAGAGATAAAGCTTGAAATCGTTGCATTGTCAAGACTTCTCCAGCTTGCAAGCATTAAACTTGTTATTACTTCAACATTTTATTCACATGATTGGATTTACTTGCATTCCAAAGCTGCTTCCAATTTTGTAGTTGTTATTTCAGTGAGTACTTTCTGCTGCCAAAGTTTGTAATTTAATCAATGAAGAAGTTCCTACCTTGCATGATCTTGATCCACCATAGCAATAGTGGAACACTTCAGCCAACTCTCTGGAGGGAATGACCAACTTTTAGGACTTATCAATCACTTCATCTTTCATGTGTGAACGTTTTGGCCAATGGCTAACTGGGAACTTCTAGTTTTTGCTATAGGCTGTGTTAAAAAATGAGAACCCTAACCAGGTAGTTGTTATCATGGTTATAGTTGATGAATTAAACAAGTTTATATTTATGAAGTGTATATTTAAAAGATTTATGACTTAAAACATTTAATCATGCCATGGCCTTTCAAGTACCACTGCTACGGCTCAGAGTTAAGATACTATGATCATGGTGATTGTGTTTTCAAACTGTACAGCTAAACTTGTGATCTGGTTTACCACATATCTGCTGATCAGTTTTACATGTGAGAACAGTGCTGATTTAATACTGACTGAGTTATTGCCTATATTTGGCATTTGAAATAAATGGTTGCAATATGTACTTTGGATGTAAGGGACAAATCTTAGGCAATATGAATAAAATACAACTTAGTTAAACAGTTTTGACCACAATCAGTTTATACACTGAAATAAACTGTAATAAAGCTTGTAAGAAGAACTTCTATATCATTAAAATTGGCTATAATAGTATTCATGTGAGTATAGATATTATTACAGTTATTATCAAATGCTTGTACAAGCATGACTAACAGCTCTTGATTGAATCCTAGGTGTCATAGCTTACTATGTTTGGTATGTAATGATACTTATTCAATAATCCAAAATGCATGCATCATTCATATATCATCATGACATGTTTATTACGTGATTAATGACTAAAATGCTGATTACTCACCAATGCTGACAAAGATGTCCAGGTTAACATGTATATATTCTACAAGTCACACAGCTAACATGTCGACTGATCTGTAAACAGGAATATTTAGGGCACATGGTAAGCCACAATATAAGTTAGGTGTCAGAACACATAAACATTTGATGAATTATGTGGAATTTTATCATTTTAGAAATACCTGAAGTTGTTCGCAAAGTGCCCTCATCATGCTCATTGATTGGTGTCACAGGTAACGATGATGTATTTTCATGGCAGCTGTCATATTTATGCCAACACAGTCATGACAGCAGCATCTCATGCACATTCTCCTCATAGATAACATAGTTGAGATAGTCAACTGACAATGTGGACAGATCCAGGACCAACTCTGTATAGCATTAATAACAAAAGCTTTAAAGAGACTCTTTTCTCAAAATAAGCTCCTGAAGACATGACGTAAGAATTAATTATTGTGGCTTTTTTTTGTAGTTGGTTAACAAGAAACTGAAATTAGAATTGAAACAAATTGAACTGATAGGCTCCTGAAACTATTTTAGAGTTTACAATCAAAGCCTGATCTACTGATCTACTGACTACCACTGAGCACTCAGCTCAATGTCCCATGATGCCCTCCCAAGTCAAACTTGTTTGTTTTTCATTTAATGATTTATTAAGAAAGAGTATGTAAATTTGGAAGTTGAAATAGTTTCTTATTGTGTTTTTCAACCAACTACATTGAATATTTTGCCTAACAATTTGTATACCAACTCATAACAAATCCAAGCATGTATTATATTATCATTTTATCTGTAATTTGAGCATGTTGACACTTGCGGAGTGTGAGTGTCAGACAATGGAAGAGGCCGGACCATAAAGTTAAACAGTTACTTTGCTTTTGACACGTCAGATGATATATCAAGCAAACTGAGGTGTCCATGATGACTAGTGGCTAGAGACCTTGGAGTAACCTATTGGTTGGGTTTGATACCTCACTGATGTCCCTCATGATATTGCTGGAACATTTCTTATTTCTTATGAGATATCAACAGATATTTAGGATTTTAATAAAATGTACAAGCTTTAAAGATTTACCCGTTTTGAAATAATGATGACTCCCTGAATAGAATCCAACCTCGGAACAGGGGATTAAGTTTGGTATTTCCTGCATATTCTCACAACCCTCACGTTGATTATCAGTACCTGTTACCAATACCAATTTTCATCTCTCCCTCTTCTGGAGGCGATCGTTCGGCCACTGTATATATCTGCGTTGCCCAACTACATCTAAGTGGAACAACTCGCAAGACACTTCCCTTTCATAATAACGTTCAATATAAGACGCGATCAAGTTGCGAACATTAGGGCTGGCTATCAATGCAGATCATGGAGATTGATAATCGTTACCTAAATATCAATCAATATCAATAAATATTGGAGAAGTAACTTTGAGCAAATATGCAAAAAAAGTCCAAAAGAAATCAACCTATTTCATGCCACTGGTGAGTGGTGACACAATTTATGGATTACTCTATGGAAAAAACAGTTGCTTTCCGTCTTTGGCAATTGACATGATTGATAATAACAAGTCTGTTTGGTATATTTAAACTTTATTTCATCACAATTGTTCATGTAAGATATTATCAATAACACAATTTTTATATCGCTAATTGTTTATATTTCTACCCATCGACGATAATTCTGATTGTCGAATTTTTTAGTGAACATATTTTCAAATCTTGTTTAACGAAATAAACATGCTTCATTCTTCATCTTCACCTATTCACTCACTCACTCAGTTATACTGTCAGCACTTTGGTTCGGAAGGAAAGACAGATAATATGAACTAAAGAAGGAAGCTACTGCCAGTGGGTCTAATTGACATCTGTTTCCAGCTTCATAAGGCCGGACCAACCGTCTTGTGTTACAGATTTTCCTGTGCTAACACACAACTTAAATAAAATATTGTCAGTGTTACATGGTTTTGAACAAGGTTGAACAATAAAGAATCGAAGATAAAAGCTGATGCAACATTTTATTTATTTGTTTGTTCTTTTACTTTTGAAAAGCTAGGTTTGTCCTTTGTCATGATATTGTTTTCTATAAAAAAAACATTTGGTCTGGCCTTATGATAATGTCAACTGAAAGTCAACCTTCAAAAAAGTTTCTTTTTTATGGTGAAGGGAAATATGAATTGTAGAAATATTTGCATTTTGATGAGGATCACTACTAGGTATCTATCAGCTGTATGCTTGGTGTCAAGACTCTGCCTGGGGGTGTGGACAGCTACTCATCACTTATCACCACATACTTGTTCACCAAGTCCCCAGGGCCTGGGCCTCCATGGATACACCTCTCACTCACCACACGCCTGCACACAACTCATGTACACTTAATGGGACTGCTGTAGCCAGATAGGATTATATCAGAACTGGTGCCATGTGCCTTAATTTGATTGTTTGTGTCTGTTTTATCTCTGATGATGTTCTACATGGTTGTGATGACCTTGGCAATCCTGTGGCAGACAGACGAGAAGCTTTAATTAGTGGTCTTGTGCTTAAGTCATCACAGGACAGCTAGCGGAGTCGCTATCGACTCGTCAGAAAGAATAACTGGAAGATTGTCAAGGATAAAAATGCTCCATTAGAGGGACATGAACCAGATTTTATCAACATTTTCCTCTTGATGTTGTGAACAATGACATGTGATGCCCAGTGGATGAATAAGATCACAGTTGCATATTGAGCATGTTGAGATGCATGTAGACGAGAGCTTATGACCATGTTAACAGTGGGTGACTCTGGGTAATCAGAATATCAGTTGTGAAGTAATACCGGAGCTGTTGCACATCACGAGGCAATGTTATATAGCTATAATCCACAGAAAAGTCACACTGATCCCTTCTACCCTGTACTGGATATCTGCACCTACAGCTCCACCATGGAGATTGCTGGAGATAGTCAGCTGTTGTGAACAGGGTGACCCATTGATGTCATGGAATGTGTCTGACCTGTTGACTACCTCTGTCATATATTGTTATGATCCATACTAACATTTAGGTTGACATGGAAACAGCATTGTCAGCAAGGTGAAGGAATCCTGTTGCCCTTCGCCTGATATCAGTGACAGGTTGTGAAGGCATTGTTTCAAGGATTGATTGTTCTCACAGATACTCTGTTAATTTGGTTGTGCCATGACCTTGATGATCTCTTGACCTTAACATTAGGTCTCAGTGCATACCAGTCCCTGTCAACATGTACATGGTTAAGGTCACCCAAGCTTGTCATTTCTGCAGGTGACAAACAAAAATCAAGAACTTGTTAGACATAAGTGGTTTGTGAGGGTTAAAAAGGAGACTAGACCTACAGATAATTAAAACAAGCAAATAAAGGCTGTAAAATTCTGTACACTTTTGCCTGACAATTATTTTTTTAAACAATTTGGGATCTTCTTTCCTGAAGATATGGATCACATTTGTTCTGGTTATCATTGCTTCTTCAACTTCTCAAGTTTGTTTTTGTGACTTGATACATGGATGGTGCTTGACAGTGGACTGATTGACTCTAATCATCACAGCCTGCAATCATACTTAGTGATACAAGAAATGAACACATAATAAGAAAAATGCCTGGGAAAATGTTGCTTCACACATTTAGCATAGCAAATATCCGACGTCGCCGCAACTCGCGAGGGTCATACACGCTTCATCCGCTGGAACCGAATGTGGAGAGAGAGTTACCGCTACCTGATCCGCCAGAGGAAATCAGCACTCCGGTAGGTGGGACGTACTGACACTTTGAGGAAGTACACGACAACAATACAGTCGCACACAACTACACCCATGTTGCCGACACGTCAGTGTGTCTCCTGCACAAAGGCATCAATACAATACACGAGAGCTGGTCACAGTTGATGACGTTAGCAAGCTTTCTTCTTATTATGATTGTGGGTGTTCAAGTGTAAATCAAAGCAAGGGAGAAGGTCATTAAGAACTTTGAAATATTATAATTATTTTAACATTGCTTTGTCATGTGAGAAATACCAGTATCGAAGAAAATGATTTTTTGTACACTGTAGTTCTAGTTTGAATACAATTCATCCACTCACCAGAAAGAGAATTAAAGGTATCATTTAGCATGTTAAGGCAAACTTCTTATAATAATAACTTATTATATGCCTTGTCAATATGCTGTCATTATTCAGGGTGCTGAGAAAAACAAAAACATACTGAACAAACATGTTTCGGGCTCATGAATATTTTTTTGGGGGATATTTTTATGAATTTGTGTGTTCAGTCTTCACTTCAAAAACATATCCCCCAAAATATTCATGATTCCTTACTTATTTTGTTCAGTATAGTATTCCCATATTATAAATTAACATTAAGCACCAATTTTGGGTGATGCTGCTTATAAAAGTCAAATCCTATTTTGAACATGGGAATCTTGAGCAGGAATACAGTTGATGTCATTCTTACTCCTGTTTTTACTTATTGGGTTTTAATCAGGCTTGCTGTAAGATTGACCTTTGTGAAAACAATATTTGACTGTTTTTAACACTTGGACTTTTCCTTCTGAAACATGTTAGATAAACATGTCAGATAAACAAACCATTCTACCGCAAATGAAGATAGGATTTTGTCATGTCTTGTGATGTTTTTGTGCAAGTAGAATATGTTTATGTTGAAACTCACATTAGTTTTTCAGGATTTCATTTTTACCGTGACCATGTTGACCATGTTGACATGATCTTCTCATTTTTGTGAACAAATTCTACCAGTTCTCATTGTACTTGATCTGTGCTGTGTATCAGTTTCAGTAGTTTTAGTGTGTATAAAGACTATTACCTTATCTAAGATAGCTACACGATAGATTGCAAAGAACAATGAAGAACTAAGTGGTTTATAAAACATTGTTCTATTATGAGATTTGAACATATGCTAGCAACTTGATGAAGTCGTAAATTGGAGAGAGAGAATTTTTTGAGAGGGAAGGATTTAGTGTCTAGTTGTTCCCCATAGATGTAGCTGGGCAACGCAGATAAACGTAATGGCTGAACGATTGCATCCAAAAGTAGGCGGGATAAGACAATCAGTACAGGGAGAAAAGGTACAGATTATCGTTGTGAGAATATCCAGGAAATACCAAACTTCACTCCACTGTTCATAAAATGGACTTGTCCGACATTGCGGAGATCAAATTGTATTCAGGGGGTCATCTTGATTTAAATACAGATAAACATTTTCAAAGCTTGTTCATTTTTTTAACATCCTTGAAGAGGCTGTACATAATGTTGATATCTCATGTAAGAAACAAAACGACTCGTGCTCATTGCCTGCCTGCAGTGTTTTAGTGTGCGATGAACAACTGCCAGTCGTTTAAATTCTCTTTCACTACACTCATGCTTTGGACTAGTGGTTAGAGGAACTGCTTTTGTTGAACACTTTCTAAATCATTGGACTTATGAGGCTATAAGGCTATTGATGTTGATCCAATGTTGATCAAAGCAATAAAATCATACAGTCTAAAGTAACACTCATCAATAAACTTTTTGGACTTCCTTGTACTTCCAGATGTTTAACGGTACATGTTATCAACCATAGTCTTCCTGGTT